TCGTATATTTTTGAAACGGTATTTTATTTTTATAATTTTCTGCTAAAATGTAGAACGAGTCTAATTTTAGATACCTGTGTTTACTCGTTAAGAAAAAGTAATACTAAAAATAAACTAACATTTTAAAACATGAAAATAGACTCACCTAATTTACTCGACATAGCGTTATGGTCCCAGATGTCGAGTGAATAGCATTTGATTAGCGTTTTCTACACTGTAAGTGCATGTAAAAATATTCACCCAGCTTTTTGAATACACTGCTAAACAGAAGGTTAGAAATAAGTATAACATTCATAAGAATGAAAGAAACCCTTACAAATGAAAACCTATGTAAAAGCAGAACCCAGCAAATAAAGAGCGTGAAATCTCAAGATACCTTGTAACATGATATAAGGTGAGAATCTCGAGATACCTAAACGTTAAAGTGTGTTACAAATGACAGATATTTCAAAAGTGCGAGCTCTTAAAAGCCATATTAAGATCCCGGAGGCGGCTTGTATCTGCCATCGCCCTGAATACTTGATGCTGGCTTTACGTGAGCACGTTACTTCAGTTTTACAGTCGCGTACAATACTCTTTTTATAGAACTACGCTCTACTATTTGATGAAATGATACTTAGAGATTTTTCCCCGTCTATAAAGACGTTGGGGCTGTAGACGTCGATAATCTCTCGATCTCTGTACGGTCCAATCACGCGTGGCGGGTATCGTGTCTGATTCTCCAATGGTTTTGATTATAATTATTGTTAATTTTGACATTGTTGAGTTTTATGTTTTATTAATAGTGTGACTTTTATATTTTATTGTATTCCTTAATTTAAATTTTATTGCTTTGTTATTAGTTATTTTCTTCATTAATTATTATTATTCTGGCTGTATGGACTGTGTCTGACATTAAATGAATTATTATTATTATTATTATAAAGAAAACTATGATGAAAGTATGATCATGAAAAATAAAATGAAAGGGTGTTTTACTGCACTCGTAGCTTTGGGTTAGGCTGGATTTATTTATTAATACTTTGCACACTGGCGGACGTACGGTCGCGTTCATTACTCTCAAGTAAGTACTTGATTCAACTGGCAGCTAGTGACTGCTAGCTATTATCAAAATCTATATAAATACATTATATAGCCCGTGAAACCAGCTATTAATTAACATTAATAGCTGGTTTCTCAATATAGTATAACTACTTAGACATTCTTCATCTTATCACTTTAAAGTAATGGAAACATATTGATTGCTATATTTTTTTCATGAATTCCCAAAACTATTGAAAAACTTCCACTTATTTTGTTAAACTTTATCAACAAGTTTAGCATTTATTGTCTTGCGATACTACCTATGTATATACCGATAAATATTATACTATAAAAATCATATATACATTCTGTTTCAGAAGTTTTATTCACTTAACATAGTTTCTAACATCGTGATATACAGCGTGTAAACTTTTATTATATATCTGCACACCGAAAACGAAAACGTCATTGATTTATTACGGTACTTATTTTCCTCATAGGCCATACTATATCCAAATCCATCAATGCTACCACTTATTACTTTATTGTTTTGGCACGCACTTGATCTTCTATAAATAATCCTATAAAATGCCACCATCAAAGTTAATTTCTTAGATCGAAATTGTGTGATAAGTACAAAATGATTAAATTATATTATGACGCCGTTAATTAAACTGTGAGACTTAAAGTATTATGAGATTATCATTAAATGTTACGCCTTCGTTTTCTTACGATGTATTTAATGAAAAATGTTTTATTTCTTAATACCTGTATCAGTATTTTTCACAACAAGTCCAAGACATTTGTAGACTACATTTTCTTTCATTCTACAAAATGTTAAAATTGTATTTCTAGTAAAACGATAATTGTATAATAGGAGTTTAAAAACAGTATGAATAGCATTTTTGATAACCGTAAAGTGGTATTTCGCGTGAACGGTACCAATAGCTGCTTACGAATGCACAAGACGTCGTCGCTGCCTCCCCACAAAGTGAATAGATAGAGGCTAAGGATAGAGGTATATAGAGGGCGCGCGCAATCGAGCCATGGGCTTCACTTTCCCCGGCGTTGCTAAAAATAGACGCTCGGATTGAGTGGCCTGCCATCATAGTCTGTGTAAGCAACCAGTTTAGTCGCGGAGTTTCGGAATATCGCACAGTTAACTGACCGAAACTTACAATAACTTTAGGTAAAGAGCTGAGAACACACTCATCGCTACGAAATGGATGATCATATTTTATTCTTGATAAATCGTACTGGTAATACGTTCACTAACTTAACTATATTTACTCGGCATTTATGTTATGTACTCACGTTTTATGATGTTTTCCATGACACGTCAGAGGTCTACGAAGTGCCTCTTAAAAAGGTCATCTAAATGTCATCTATTATTTTTTGTCCTCCGCCAGTAAAAGTGACATAAATATCGAAGAAACTTAATTTAACTTTGCAGGTAAAATAACATCAGAATTTTATTCGATTTTCTGTGTATATATGAGAGCTTAGTAGAATTTTACTGTGGAGAATAAAGTGTTCACTTTATTCCTTGTAAGTCCGGCGTGCCATGTATGTGACCTATCGATCCTTATAATATGTACTATCAGACTTATGAGAATATATGTTACAACATGTGGGCTCACGTGCGATGTTTTCTTCCCCTGTTAAAATGTGAGATAAGTCGTTATTTATCGACCAAACGAAGAAAAAACGAGGACGATCTCATTTCGCAGCGAGTATTTCTTGTGTGGGTGTAATCACATATAACAATTTGTACAATTGTACGACTTTGATGATTTTAACTTTGGATTTCGACAATAACAGCAAACCTTTGATATAAATGTCTGTTATAAAATTATTTTATTCTCGTTTTGCTCTCAATATTGTAAACGAAAAACAATATATATAAGACATAAACACGAACATACCATAATTCTAATTTGCCCGACATGGGAATCGAACCGAAATGTATTAATATACCAGCTGTTAAAATGTAACATAATGATAAAGTTTTTGTAGAAACAACAATTTATTTTAGAAGCTTTCTAGTCGTAGACCTACGCTTAAAATTAAGTCATTGTTTGAAACTTAAGTCATCTTAAGTTTAACTTGTGGAAACTGGAAGACGGTACAATCTTAGTACAATAAGATAGAGACGAGTTCATTTCAACAGATTTGATACTCCGTTAACAGCCTTCTCTATTCTATTTATTATTATTTTATAAACAGACAACCAAAATGAAACGGCTATTATGGAATTTACTTAAAGAAATAATTGAAATAATTAAACAGATGCGAATGAACAATCTTTTAAACTGTCAAACACCGCGAGGACACCGGTGACCGCAACCTATTGTTCTTTAATTGTGTCTATAATGACGGTACTCAACGAGTTAAAACGTAAATATTACGCATTTAGATTGAAAATTTAAATAAATACATTGTGTATTTATTTTTCTGCGGTAAACTCTCATGTGTGGAGAAAGAAGCAGGAATTTTGATATCTATGTGAATAAAAATTAATCATAAAAATGTATGTAAGGCCATAACTTCGAAACTACTTGACCAAATTGGATAATTCTTCTTTCTCCCTAAGGAAAAAAAACTTGCCAAATTCATCGGGAATATTCTCTATTATTATATATATAAAATTACGTAACACAGAAGACTCCGATACTAAGGGAGTATGTCCTTTACGCAAGTTATGGTCACTTGGCCGAATTGCTTTGATCCTTTATAAGGACGGCCCCTTAATTAATACTTTCATACAATATCGACCATTTTACAGTCACTGAATATCAAAGATTATTGGAGCCAAGTCATTATCATGCATGGTAAATAAACTTTTGTGGTCTTTCGGCTAGAGGCCATTTTCCAAGAAACGGAATATAAACACGTACATCACGACCTTTTTTCATAAAAGAGTTAGACAGAGGACTCTCATTAAAATAAGGGGTGAGCCTATTGCCACAATATACCTGGCACAATTCTTCACTACGTGCTATGAGAATCTTCAAAATAACGAAATAAATACCAGTATCGCGATTGTATGCAAACAACACAGTACCCTATGTAATGCTAGCACAGCTTATTAAATCCCATTCACGAGACGGGCTGAGGAGCACAATTCACAAAGAACCAACTCAAAGTTATAAGTGACTCAGTTTTGAACAAAGGTCAAAGTTCATCACCCTTGTTTGAGTAATGAATATTGATATTTGAACTATTATAGATACATTTTTTTTTATATTCACGAAAACGAAATAAGATACAACTCATTAGATAATAGCTTCATAGCACGTTAGATATATATTGTATACTGTTTATTGTCACACTATAAGTGATTTGCCATAGATCTATAATTACTTTTTTATAATAACTATCATGAGACATACTATATTAACTAAAAATCGAGAGTTATTCACGTGAATATACTGAGAGAAGCTCTACTAGTTTCGAACCACAGAGGGGTTCTTCCTTATGAGCAGCGTGCGCGGTCGCGGCGATGTCGCGCAGCCTACTCTTACTCTTACTTACTTACTTACAACTACTTACAAGTAGAACTTTTCTCAGTACATTCACGTGAGTAACCCGCGATTTTTAATAAACTATAATTACGTCAAAAATTGCTCAGAAATTAGTATAGCTGTGACTAAGTAATTTTCGACACACGATGTTTAATACGAGCATCTATAACAATACGTAACGTAGCACCAAGTTACTGCGTAACATTGTCAAGTTTAAATCTCTTTCCGATATTGTTCTATAACTTTGTAAAGTTTTATAGTAACTATTACTTTTTATAGAGAAAACTAGCTGTTGTCCCGCGCGGTTTCACACGCTGCTCGGTTATTGGTCGTAGCATATTGTTTTATGGCCTGTATATAATTATAAAGCCTTCCTCGACAAATATATTACGGCAAATAAACAAACTCTATAATATAAATATAGGTGTTCTATAATAAATCGTGTTGTTACAGAATGTCCACCGGCTGCCGATGGCATGGAGCGGTTCGCGTGCCCGACACCCGACCGACAAGGGCGCTACCGCTGCATTGACGACCATGTGTTGTGTGATGGCTTCATCGACTGCCCCAGTGGCGAGGATGAAGACCGACAAGCTTGCATGTTCTACAAAACGGTGATTCTATACTTACTAATATTACTTAATTTCATTCTATTCCCTGCTATGTGTTAAAGATTCTTTATTTCTTTCATACAACTCAATAGCACGTAATGTAATCAAGCATGAATATCAAGCTAAAAGTCTCGTGTGTTTTAGGATCCAACTTCCAATCTTCCGATATGTTCAAATAAAAAGATACTAACTACTTTGTTTCATGTATGAATAATAAATTGATTAATGTTCTGTATCAAGTACAATCTCCCTTGGAAGATAGGAAATCTTAAAATTCCTGCCTGTTTTATTAGTTTATTTGCATCGTAAATGTAAGTCATGATAGGCACCTACCTGAAAGTTGATGAGTGGCCGAGTACTTAATGTTGCGTTGTTGTTACAGACGAAAGCCCACCTAGATGTCCTGGCCGACGCGCTACTCCGGTGGGCGCGCGGCCGCTAAGGACCGACCCCTCCCGGACCCTGACCCTTTAGTGCTCTAATACTCCGCCAGTGCTACACGGACCTCATGTAAAATATACGATCGATTGGCCCCGTGCTTAAATGCGATCAGTGAAAGCTGCGAACTCCTAGAAATAGTATTCGGGCGCAACCAGTCATAACTCGTACATGCGTTGAACGTAATGAAACATATCAAGTAGTGGTGCAGCCTATGCCAAAACATGACCACTTAAAGTGTAGTGTAAGGTTTCCGACTGCGACAATCGAGACAACAGAACACGCCGCGCTGGCCCGCCCAGTGAACGAAGGAAAGCAGTGATACGATCTGGTTTCGTCCCAATTAAACTTCTCCGCAGCTGATTTATTTTCCATGTATTTCATACCTTCTAGCACTTATTAAACTAAAATGTGAGACTGGTAGTCAACATTGTTAGACAGTAGAACATATACATAAAATTTTAGAATAGTTCTTCATTTGGCAAAACGTAAATGTTTGTCGATTTGTTAAAATATGTATTCACTTTATGTAATTACTCTACGTTAAGTTATGACATTCCTTATTATAATGAGGGTTGTAAAGTAAATAAGAGAAATTTAAAAATGTGTTGTATATAGATAGATACCAAATGAATTATTTTATATTTGTTTAATTAGTCGGCCTATAATATGCGATCGACGACTGCTCCGACGAGTCCGCACTAGAACTTGGTGATCAGCCGTCGTTGGCACTCTTGTCCATTATTTTTTCTGATTTATCAATAACTTTGTACTTAAGTATATTACTTTCAAAAGACAATTATTAAGATGTGAGAGCATTAAGTATTTTAACATAAATTGATCTCGACTAGAGGCAGCTATATTATGTAATATTATAAAATAATCGATTTATTTAAAGATGCATTTATTTGGTTAGTTCTTAATTATATAGATATTAATTTTTGTATGAGTTACTGATATGTTCAATATGGCTAGAATAAATTTAGTATTTTTGACTGAAAAATTGTTCATGTCCTTTGCCGATCTAGTCTGGGGAACTTATTAGCCATACATTCCTCCTTAGTCAATACTTCTAGTCAGTGCTCAGTTCCTTTTACTTACTTGTTTTAATAAGTTGTACCTGTTTTTCATATTTAGGTTAGTACAGTTTATGAATCTTCATTCAGGAGCAAAATATTGCAACGAAATGAAGCTTAGTGCCTGAAATATCACAAATTCATTGACATAATACAATCTCAGGATGATACAAACCTAAAAATAACCAATGGAACAGTAAGAAAACATTCCGTATCAAATATTTTATCCACAAAGAAGAAAAACAAGACTTGCGTCTACATATATATACCGTCGACCACATCCATGAAGCTACAAGCTAACTAGAGTAGGTATACGTACGTTTATTTCATCGAACAAGCCATTATCTAATTAGTTACTTATTTCTTGCGAAAATATATAATTAAATGATCACATCCACTATAATTAAGTATAGGAACGTTATTCTACATGACGTAAGTAAGTGAACTATGGTAGTTATTGTTTAGATTATTAAAATATAACATTTAATTCGTAGATATAGTTAATGGAAACAACATTTAAATTATTAAAAAATATATACTCAGTAGGAAAGGTTGATGTGTACGAGGTAGTGTCGTTTGGTAGTTTGTAGTCAATGCACCAATTAACAGTCGAGATTTATTTCTAGCACCCCAATCAGTGTGTAGCTAGTCACTAAAATAATTAGTTTTGTGGTAGTACTTTAAGATATTCAAATATTACATTATATTTCTAAGCCAAATGTAGTAATAAATGAAAGTATAATACCTATATTATAGTCATAAACAGTGGATGTGACGCACAGAGGAGATAGGTCGTATGTGAGACTTTGGAGGCACATCGAAGCAGCCTTCTTTGTACTTAAGTAAATTCCAAATTACAATAATAATTCTGGATACGTCAAAATTTGAATAAACACCGCCATAGTCTGTTAGAACGTAAGTTCTTGAGCCAGCAGACTCGGCGGTATTTATAATAAACAAACAAAACATTTATGAAAACCGAGTTCAGTACGTAAACTTACATATTTAGGTATCTGCTTTGATGTTAATCTCATGTAAGACTTATCACTATTAAATATTAATACTTTTTTATTAGGTACAGAAACACATTTATCAAAAGATTTTTTTGTACACGTGTGAAGTAAATTGGTTTTGTTTACCAGCCTTTACCAGAAATAGGTGAAGGCTGCCTGAAATACGAGTCATTATATCCAAATTAAAATTTTAATGACCTGACTAGGAAGGTCGATTATTTATATTTCGACAATACCGCAGTCAAGTTACACAGTTTATGAAATTAAACTTTACGTATACCTACTGAAAGTAATGGGATACATTAGTTGTGTTTATTTGAGTAATTAGGTTGTATTATTCTTTCATAGTATATTATTAAAGAGCAATTTAGCTTCAGCTACGTGCTGTTGAATTAGAAATTATTTCACTAATAATAGTAACGACTAATTAAACTGAAAGCTCTTTCGAGTATGACGGTAACAATAGTTTTATGTCAATGAATTCTGAGATTCTTTTACTTTTTTTGTACGTACGTACTACAAATATCATATCCTACATGATCTCCCTAATGGCATTTAGCACTTTACGTACCTTTGTCTCAATCGAATTAGACATAGAGTTTTTTATATTTTTAATTTTTTACCCCGCCCCAAGACTATTCGGCAAATACAAAATTATGATTATATTTAATAATGTTTTATGTATTAGTATTTATTGTTTCAATTTGAACATTTTTCATTAAGACGGAATTAAATCTTTAAAAATTAATCTAACTGCACTAAAATTTGCCTGTTTCGTATGTGCACAGCAATTTATTGTGATATTTTAAATACTTATAGGTTAAGATGCAAATCAAGATCTCGGGAATAGACTATGTACCTATCAATGTGATTAATATTAATTTAATATATGTACTAATTACTATGTACGTATGATACCTATGTCAGAGTTATGTTGGTCTGTATTAAATACGGACACGTCTGTTTAAGCTTCGCACATTCTATATATGAATATCTTATTTATTGTATGTCCTATAGGTAACGTTACCTTGCAACTAGTCAAACCTATTGTGTTGATCCAAAGTGTCTGTTATTTAAGTTGGAATGGTCCCATTACTTTAGAAACATTTTGCAATTTTGGTCAATTTTATGAATATATACCTGTATGTGTATGTAGAATAATGAAGATGCTAATTGTTGTCCAGTCCACTGTCTGTATGTAGTGATCGTGCCGGGACTGCTGGCGTCGCCACGCCGCGGCCCGGCCCGCTTCTCGTTGTCACTGTGACCGCTCTTGTGTCTTCGCCATTACTTCGACGCACCCCTCACCCACCTATTTATTGTATTTATATCTAGTGATTGTTGAATATATGTAAGCACCTACTATGAGCACAACTTGTCATATAAATATAATAAACGCCTACTTATATCTAACATTTACAAATTGTTTCTAGACACTTTTATACGACTCGCAGTATCTTGCGACTGAAACCGTACTTCTACAACTCTTTTGGAAATGAAAGATAGAACTCAGTTCAAATTAGATATTACTGTAATATCTATTTCTCATAACGTACTTATACCTACCTAAAGTATCTCTACAACTCAAATGGGGAAAATACTTCAACGATATTTACTGTTGAAGAACGATATTTTTAGATGTCACACTTGTAGTGGATAAATATTACACAAAACTCTTTGTTTGGTCAATTAATATTTCACTAAACATTTTCATAGAAATTTTGCTGTATCAACCTTTGCGCAAGACGGAACTACCCATCAATTTATTAGCCGTTCTTCTTGAGGAAAATCAATTATTATTTGAAAATGCAACTATTTTTGTAGATACATATTTAATTGATTACCACTAGATAGATATTAACATATGTATATTTTCTCATAGTGTTGTGTTCGCCAGAAGACAAACGATTAACTATCTCTGACCGCACAAACTGAATCGTTGATACTTTGTTGACTCACAATATACCGCAGACAGCGATACACTGTCGGACTCTGTCATACCAACTGACGGCCGAGAGGTAGAGAACGCTCGTGCTCACTCAGGCAGGCCGCATAGGTCATTGTCATCGCATAGCTTGGATGAAAAATGGAATAGCCTCCGAGAGAATCCACCTACTCACTGTCGAGTACGTTACTCAGGAACATCTAAGCGACCTAAACTTATGAACGACTTCACATTGGTAAATGTGATGCTTGGTAATCTTGCTGAACTTTCCCTGTCATTCTCTCTGAGAATATTCCCACTTTTTCAGCCGTGTCATGGAGTTGCCTAGACATTTCGCAGGACATGTAAGCAACTCATATGGCGATAATCTTATAACGACTACGCTATTTTGTAGGCGTAATATACTTTTGGACTATTTATTATGTATTGTTAATTACTATGTATGTTGTATTAAGAAAAAAAATTGAAAAACAAAAATAAATGTTAATAAATGCCTCAGCCAGATAATGCACATGTTTTATTTCTACTTACGTTGTCAAAAATGTTCATACCTACAAAATATTTAGCATTTACCTGAAGCAGCAACTAGTTAACTAGACTATACTAGAGCACTCAGTATTACCACCTAGAAGTTATTTGGAATGACGATGCTCATCTGAGTATCGAATCCTACGAAATCCACCCCATATAGGTACAGCAGCAGCTTCGTAGTGGATACTTTATCGACTCGCTATATAATCACTATAGACACCCACCTTTTCCGGGCCGTGATAATTTCTTATGGATTGATGAATGCACACACAGCACAATGCGTACTTAAGTATCTAACGTCCAGTTTGCACTAATATAGGTTTTTTTTTATATATTTGATGGGACCACGTTTGACCACTATCTCGCCTGGTGGTAAGTAATGATGCGGTCTACGATGTAGCACGTCGTCCCATAAGCAACCTATTCACTCGGGCCTTGAAGACTCCTAGGTTATACCCTTCAGGAAATACAGACTCTGGCAAAGAATTCCACTCTTTAGCAGTACGCACAAGGAAGCTTGAAGCGAAGCGCTTCGTGCGTGTGGGCGGAACATCTACCATGAGTCGGTATTACGGAACTCAAATAAAATTGTGCAAATTAGTACTCAAAACGCAACTGCAACTGAAGAGTGCTTTGGCTTTCGTCGCACTTGTGATCTCTGTAGAGAGGTAGTCATGTTGGTTGAATTAATTCGATTTAATAAGCAGTAGAATACAGTTAAAAGGAAAAATATATGGATAAAGCAAGTTTGCCCCTACATGAATTCTTGCTCTAACCCCGAACTCGTTGTTCCTTTATTCCAGACGGATTTAAGTCTTAATAATCGATGAAAGCAATGTATACCAGTACTAAGAATTTGATTTTGTTGCATTTCTTTGAAAAATCATTTAGAAAGTAACTGATTTTTTTATTTTCTTCATAATTAAATAATATCTACCTAATCCATTACGTTGTGGTTGGCTATTACTCATTACAAGAAAACCTCGATACAGAGCTCCTTTTTAAACCATCTATCCTGTTAACAGTTATTTGAGTAGATCTTATTTACCGATCAGTCCCAAAGATCGATTCGGAGAGTTCGTGCTCGGTAGTCGCATTTGAAACCACTCGACTCGACTCGGAGACTTTATGCGACCAAAAGGATACTTGCTACATTACCTACTTAATTTTAAAACCCCTTTTTAAGGGATTGCAGATACTTTAAATTTTATAGTTCTTGTGACCCCTCTAAAGAGGCCTCGTGACACCCTTGGTGGGGGTCACGACCTGTAGTTAAAAAAATAGTAGGTAATGTATCCTTAAAATTAGCCGGTTAAATTAACGAGATGAATTATGATCGAGTTGTTGAATCCCCCTAAAAAAATTAACATTATGTATTTTTAACATTAATTTTTTTACTTTCATATTGCTTGAATTGGTTTTTGGCATTTCCGGAATGCGACAGGGCTGGCTGGATTTGTCTACCTTACCTACTTTAAATTATGAAATCAATTTCTGTTTGTATAACGGATCACAAATGAACAACTAACGCCATCTGTATGACCTTTCGCACAACAACAAAATACAATCCTGGCTTGAAGAAGAATACTTTTTATTTAATTTATCTGTCTGTATTAATACAACAACTGCACATTTTAAACCTTAAAACAAACATAATGTACCTAGCTTTAAAGCTTTGAGACGTTAGGTATTGTCTAATTTTTCCGCACACACGCTATGCTTTTTTTGAGGGTAAAATAATCCAATAACTTCTCCCGCCCGTGTGAGGCGAGAGGGATGCTAACTTTATTATTATTCTACTGATTACAAATCAAAGTCATAGAAAAAAAACTTAACGTGTACCTAAATTTTGAAATACACAATATTGATTTAGGTCAAAATACTTCTGATCAGACTAGAAATTCATACTACGTAGACTAGCAGTTATGCTTATGGGCACTTAGTTATTTAGATTTGCGATCACTAAGTGGTACGTAACCGTAATAATCAATGCGAAATATAAGAACATACTAAATATAATTATTTCTAGCTTTCCAAATTCAATAGGTACATAATCGAAATTTCATTATATTCATTTTTGTACGCGATTGTACCTGGTAACGTCTTGTGTTTGGTGTTGCCTAGCATAATTTAACAACAAAAAAGTATGAAAACGGAGACGTTTTAACAATAAATCAATAAATATAAATATTACTGTAAACATCAAAAAAAAATTAAGTGAAGACAATATAATGGGGAGTTCCATTATTTTCTTAAGTAGTGGATATCTGTGTCTCTCCGCTGTGCCAATATCATTATGGATAAATTATAATAATTCACAGGCTCTGGCTTAAAATATCTGCTTTCATTACAATAGGATTTTTATACCGCACCTTAATTAATTATTTATAAATCTTTGGTTTTGTATAATAGAAATGGTATTATTTCTTGGTAGAAAAGTTATTAAGTTGGCAACATAGACTCTTCTTTGTCAACGAGTGAGAAATACATGTCTTTGTTTTCGTTTGCAAAAATTCTTGTCGAAGCGTCGTTGCTTTGTTATGAATTGTGCAGTTTTTGTTTTTAAAGAAGAGAATAAAAGATATAAAAGTGCTCGCGATATTAACTTCCAAGTTAAAAATGTCATCCAGCGAGACTCAGAAGCCTGAGTCTTCTAAGGATAATATATCAAGCAATTCGATCGATGAAGGTTTGCCAAGGGAACTGAGTCAGTTAAGTCTCTCGAGTGGATCCAGCCAGGATGAATTCTTTTGTGACACAGGACACTCAGGGGCAGCCTTAAAAAATATTTTCGGCTATTACCAATCTCAGAAATTGTGCGATGTCGTCCTCATTGCAGGTGGATGCAGGTTTGTTTATTTACATTTTGTTATAGTAGGCATAAATAAAAGGTCAAGTGTTTCGGAAAAGGTCGTGAACCCGAACTAAACGTTTAATGCCTACACATTCAAAATAGGTAACAAAGATTTTCATTGTTACTTTGACCATGCTTAGCATAAATTACTTAATTATCACCATAAAATAATTAATGCGCAACAAATATCCCATGCGCTTTCAAAGTGTTCTAGAATCGCTTAATAATTTTATTTTCAACATCTAACAAAGGCTTTGTGAATTGTATCGAATTATGTGTTTATTTAATCATAATAAACATAGCACTGTGGTTTGTATAAGATGGCAAAATAAACAACTTCAAATCGTGTAAATTATTAGAAGTAGAGCATTTAGCTCTACTTCTAATAATTTTAACCTCAGATAACAATGTATTCACTACATTTGTTATCCATAATAAAAAAAAGTAAACTGATGACTCACAATTTCATCTGAATCTGAAATATACAAAGAGCTACCTACTGACTTCTGTTCTTTGTTGCACATTGCACTCTCATATTTCACAATTATTGCTTGGTGTGTAAGATGATCACTTTCATTCCTTTTAATACTTTGTCGTTTAACTGACACCATGAAAGGAATCAATTAGCATGTCTTTTTTAACAAATCTTATAATTAAAACCTACTAGCCTTTGCTTTGTCATAAACTATTAATTTATAGTATTGACTGAATACTAACATAATTTACCCTTTTCTTCACAACAGAATACCAGCACATAAAATACTGCTTGCATCATGCAGTGAGTACTTTGCAGCCATGTTCACTGGCTCCTTGCGAGAAGCTCAGTCCAGTGAAATAACTCTTGAGAGAGTTGATCCTCAAGCTCTACAGGATCTAGTGCACTATTGTTACACTGGCACAATAGGCTAGTATCATAATTTTACTTTTTAATGTTAAGGTGCTTATTATACTGCAGCATTATTTTAGGTTTCACCTCATAGCACGTAGCCAACAATACTTGGTCAACTGTAACTGCTAAAATTCTTAGAAATTGAGTAAAATCTGTTTTTAGCTGCAATGTAAGCACTTATGTTCACTTGAGCTAAGAAAAGATTGGTCTGATTGGTCATGTATTTTTTGATTTGCAGAGCTGAGAGAGGAAACAGTTGAGGTGCTCCTTTCAACGTCGAGCTTGTTGCAGCTTAATTCTGTTACAAATGCTTGTTGCGCTTTCTTAAAGAAGCAGCTAGACCCGTGCAACTGCCTGGGTATAGCCTTGTTTGCTGAACAACAGTCATGTCTGGATTTACACAAAAGCGCTTTAAAATACACTTACCAAAACTTCATGCAGGTTAAGATTTTGTTTTATTTTTTTCTGTATTACTTTCTTTTTTTCTTACCATTTACTTTCAGAAATGTTAAAAATGTATGTTAAATACAATGTTCTTATCTACCCATTTCTAATACTGCCAATGATGTAAAAAGAAAACTAAAATGCTTTATTCTATTTTATTCAGGTGGTAAAACATCAAGAGTTCCTATCGCTGCAGTCAGACCAGCTGTCCAGTTTATTAAAATCTGATGACCTCAATGTAGTTACTGAGGAAAATGTATTTGAGAGCTTGATGACTTGGGTTCAGCATGATAGCGCTACCAGAGAATGCCATTTGTCCACTTTACTGAAGCTTATTAAGCTGCCTCTTCTTTCATCTGAGGTAAAAATTAAAAGTTTTATTTAACACACCCTCATAATTTGTTTATTTCATCTCTTATTTACCTTTCAATAATAAATTAATTTAGTACTTTCAATAAAAAAAATATTTAACCCCCTACCTATTGACACATTCATCTCATACCTAATTGATATTGACAATATTTTTTTTTTGCAACCCTTCTCAGTAAGGGTTTGACTAGTACACAAAAAACTGCATACCCTTTATAGCCACCAACAATATGGGTACTAAACAAAAGGGTTGACCATTGAAATACAATTACAAAACAAACAACTTTGAAGCTGTTTTCATAGAACAGACATTTAAAATTATTTATAAAACATCTAATTTGAAATATTAACAAATTAGCACCATCTCACATTTCTTTAGAAATGTTTCGTGCTATACAGTAGATGTTTATGTCCTACGATTTTTTTACATTCTTGTTAATAAAAATAGATGATAGATACAAATCTTCTTCCCTTATGGAAAGTTAGCTGTATATTGAGGCTCTTTTTTCGTTGCAGTACCTTATTGACAAGGTGGAACAGGCTTGTGGAAATGTACCAGAATGCCAGCCCCTCATCATGGAGGCTGTCAAGTGGCACCTGTTGCCTGAAAGAAGGTCGCTCCTATTCTCACACAGAACCCGACCACGGACATCGACTATTGGACGGCTTTTGGCTATTGGCGGCATGGACGGATATAAGGTTTAATAAAAAATTAGATTTAATTTTTTCGTTATATCAAAAATATCTCAATTTCGGATTTGTGAAAATTCTTGTAGTCTAAAGATAACATTAAGTATAAACTTAATACCATAAGTTTATCCCCATTACCTAGGCCTATTAGGAAAGAAAATCAACCTATAAGGTACTTTATTTCGTATGGGATGATTAAATTAATAAAAAAAAATATTTTTAGGGCGCCAGTAACATGGAGATGTACGACCCTCGAACGAACACATGGACGCCATTTATGCGTATGGGAGCCAGGAGACTGCAATTTGGTGTTGCAGTCATGCAAAACAAACTTATCGTTGTTGGCGGCAGAGATGGACTTAAAACTTTAAATACGGTATTTTATTTTAACATAAATTTTATTATTTTACTAGGAAAGTTGAAAAATAATTAAAAATATTTTTAGGTTGAATGCTTCGATTTAACGTCTCTGAGCTGGAGTGTGCTGGCTCCTATGAACACCCATCGGCACGGACTTGGTGTCGCAGTTTTAGGCGATGGACCTAATTCGCCTGTCTACGCCGTGGGTGGTCACGATGGATGGATATATTTAAATTCTGTTGAAAGGTAAATAGTTATAGCAAACTTGTGGGGTTTGAAACTGAATTTAACAGTTATAAAATTAAACTCGGTCATCAAGTATTTCGACAAAAAGAGATTATGTCTGAATACCGACTAGTTTCATAATACTTACATACATAAACAACGACTGTATTAGTTACCTCTAAATAGATACATGCGCTGTATTAAACATAAAATATTTTTTTTTGTTAAGATGGGACGCGTGTTCCCGAACATGGACGATCGTATCTCCGATGACGGGGGCGCGTAGTACGTGCGGTGTGGCGGCACTACGCGGCCGTCTCTACGCAGTGGGCGGTCGGGACGGCGGGGCATGTCTGCGCTCCGTCGAGTGCTACGACCCAGCCACCAACCACTGGACCAACTGCGCACCTATGACCAGGCGACGCGGAGGAGTTAGCGTAAGTACCGCTATATTTTATATATGGTATGTGTCATAGTGTGAACTTAAGTGTTACTTTTATTTCTTTGAAAAATTAAACTTATGTCATGTACTTATTGTACATTTATTTTGTGATTAATGTTAATAGCTTTGTTTACTGAACAACACTTTACAGGTTTGTGCAGCAGGTGGCTACTTATACGCCCTGGGAGGTCACGAGGCGCCCGCCAACACTGTCGGCGGCCGCCTGGCCTGTGTCGAGCGATATGATCCTGTAGCAGACACTTGGATTCTTTTAGCACGCCTCTCTTATGGCCGAGATGCTATTGGCTCTTGTCTACTTGGAGACCGAATTGTTGCTGTTGGTGAGAATATGTTTCCATTATCTAAATTTCTTCCATTTATCCTAGAAAACTTCCAAGTCTCCATAAGCTTATAATTCTCTCAAACGTTATTCTTAACATGACATTATCGCTTTAGGTGGATATGACGGAGTCCAATATCTGTGCGTGGTAGAGGTATATGATTCTGAGTCCAACTGCTGGCGTAAATTGGCTCCTCTGAGCACTGGACGAGCTGGCGCCGCCGTGGTTTCCGTACCGCCGCCCAAAAATGTCTTCTGATATAACGCCATCCGCCGGCCGGTGGATACTGCAAAATTTGTTCCGATATTCTCAATGTCTGACCCAGAAGATGATGATGACTATTAAATACCGTTTACATTCAAACAAAATGATTTCTTAAGATTAATTGATATCGTATTTGATCTTTGTATGGTTAATAAAATCGCTCGTTAGTGACAATTAGTAATTTTGGAAAAAGGCGTTGTCCGAGATAAATAATACCTAAAAGATAATATAAAAAATAAAGACTAGATTCTATTTCAGCTAAATTGTAAATTCATAACTGTCGGATTTCATATTAGCAGTGATGTGTTAAATAAATAATTCCCTCTTGGTAAGATTAGGCATGTTCAATAATCATATCATCATATTTTATATTTCATGAATATCATAATTAATGTAATCAACTTAATGTAACCATAATAATGATTCTTTATGTATTGCGTTGTGAAGTAATGGCAACCAATTTTCATTTCGATCTCAATATCAAAGTCAAATTGAATGATAGTGACTTAATGTTCTAATAATGTTAGTTAATGATCTTTTATGTACCACCTATACGTATTTCGTATAGTATGGGTAAATGTTGGAACACTTTTTCAAAAGGAGTTTGCTTTGATCTTTTTTAATTTGCAAGACTGTATAACAAATGTTTGATTCCATTATCGAATTTAAAGGCTTAAACTAGACTTTTCTTAATTAATAGGTGTTAAAAAAATTAGGTACATTTTCGGCTTGGTGTATGTTATTTGAGAATCGTAATATTACTATATTCACTTGTATTTTTCGATAGATTTCTTAATGTAGGTACCCAATGGTAGAATATGGGACCTGTTTCACCACTTCCGATTTTCTGTTTGCGTAACTGACACATTGAATGTGGAATGATCCACTAGTTACGATTAATCGAAATTTTTGAGGTGGTGAAACAGATCCTAAAGTTCTTAAGTGTATATTTGAAATATAGTTTGGTTATAACAATTATTATAAGCTGTTAAAGAACATAAGAAAATGTTCTTAATCGGTACTTAACTGATCTCAGTACTAAGAATGCAAAATAAATATATAGGAGTTTTTAGATTTAGTTGTACCTATATTTTACATAAGATCCCGGTCCAAATCTTTCATTGACTTAAACTTCTTGAAATAAATATTTTTTGAAAGGATACGAAAGAAATTCTATTTTAAAATTACAAAAGAGTATAAGCTTCTTTGATAAGATTATACAAAAATGTTTTAATTGTTATTTATTGGATTTTATAGATGGACAGCGATGTGAAATTGTATGAACTTTATTTATTTTATAGATGTTTTATTTTATTTACATTATACATAAAGATTGGTATGTGGTTGTGAATGAAGCTCGAATAATTAATCGGTGGATAGAAAATTTTGAAAAATGCAGTCTCTTCTTCATTTTAATGTGTATCTAAATCTGTTATATTATATATTACGACTTCAATTATGTTCTTTTTTACTATCGCTAGATTATTTTATAAAAGATAATAATATTGTTGTATTGTAATTATGACAAAATTATTGAGTGATAAAAATTAACTATTAATAAACTTTAGGTCCCCTCTCTCCCCAATTAGATCTTTACGAAATATGTGTAATTCATATTCTATTGATATTCTCGCGTATATGTAATCATTTGTGACATTTAGTATGGAGATAATAGTAATTTGTATGATTCTTCCACACTGCTATTAAAAAAAATTTACCAGCAATGTGTAAGCATCGGTAGAAATAAATACCATAACGATTAACTATAAATTTTGAAGCCAATTTTGAACAGTATTAATTTACATTTATTTTTTTACTGAAGTATTTTTCACTTGGTTCTGTATTTTTATAAGTTAGGGGGCCACACTGTGATGTTAGTGCTAGGAAATTGCTAGAATATATATATATATGGTTTGATAAAGGAAATAAGATTTAATTAAATATTATAATATGACAAGCATATTACCTATAGCTATGTAGCATTGATGAATAGTAATAAAGAAGAATAACATTACATAATGCACCTTTAACTTTTTAAGGTAATACCGTACTGTAACTACTAACTTTACTATTATTTTTGCTACAAAACAGCTTGAAATAATATAATATTTAATTCAAATTACGACAATGAAGGGATATACATGGTAAGAGGGCATGGTCAGGACACAAGGCCTAAACGATAGGAATACTTAACAGTGGAGGTGCTGTGGTTGTATGTATTAGTTTACCCAATATACCGACCGCGACGTTTTATTCTATTATTTTAATATTATATGCCAATAATAATAGTACTCTCATTGATTTGTAAAAAAATAATCATAATCAACTGTTATTGTATCATTACGATCCCGCAGCTACCTCTTATCGGCTGCTTTTTAGATTTTATAATTATTATTATAGTTAACAATACTAGGTGATCGTTATGTGACTGTATTTTTTTCTTAGCGTTCAAATATATTTTAATGGTACCTATTGTTGCCAAATTAATCATCTATATAACGTCTTTTCCAGTGATGTATTTTGAAATAAATATTGTGGTAGTAATTAAAGTGTTTTTTTTTTATTTGGCATCCTTGTTAGCTTTTATAGCTTCGTTTATATAATGGGCATGCAGTTTAGGCCTTTGACTGTCGACAGAAAACTGTCGAAGGCAAATCTCCGCTAACGTTGGTCACCGGTGCCCTACGTGGCGGTTAACGTGTTAGTTAGAAAACAATATGGGTAGAAACGAACCAGATGATATGAAATATGTTTTAAATCGGAGGCACCCAGATCCGTATGATCCCTAAGCCAAACTAGGCAAGTGTCTAGGGCGCCAGGTCTACAAAAGGGGAGTCGCGAGACGCGAGTGCCCAACGGCCCATAGAGTGGCGCCGGTGCCAAAAAGTTTAAGGGTGCCTTAGAGGTATTTACCTAGGGTCCTCTCTAGGTTTTATCCGGCTCTGGAGGCGCCATATATGTCAGTACTTAATCTATGGCGCCATAGTTGCAAGACAATGAAAGGTTGGACAGCCTTTCTAATGTTTGATTCTCATAATGGTGAGTACCTACTCCTAGCTGTCGTACTGTGTAAATATTTAAAATAAAGAAGATTGAAAATATGCCTTGTTTTCTATTTTATTTTTATTATAGGATTGTAAACATAATAACTATATTATTTAAATATGCAAAAATATTTACCTACTTAAAAATGAGGTCAAATCTAGTGAGTATACGATTGACACATGAATGAGATAAATTAAGCAACTGTGTGTGGGAGAGCCATTCTTCAGCACGAATGGGCCAGCTCAACCGGAGTGATATCACGGCCTCACAGAAAACCGACGTGAAGCAACGCTTGCGTTGTGTTTCGTCGTGATAGTGAGGTTACCGAAGGCCTAATTATACCGCTCCCTAATATCCCAATCTCCCCAATCCCTGAATCCCCAACGATCCTCAAACTCCTAATCCTCAAAAGGCCGCTAACGCACTTGTAACGCCTTTAAATGTTCCAGGTGTCCATGGGCGACGCCGATTGCTTACAATCAGGTGCTCCGTAAGCTCGTTTACCGGCTTATGCCATAAAAAAGAAAAAAACTGACCGCCGCAGTTGATCGCAGTATCGATTCCTGCTCAGAATAATTCTTTGTATGATACACAAGCTGTTTTCCACTCTGGGAATGAATTTTGGTTTGTAGCCTAATTTCTAATAAGGTAATAAATAACTAAAAAAAATATACCCCCACAGAGCACCTTGAGGCCAGGTGACGGGCATTAGCAACCTCGCGGGCAACCATCATCCCGAGTGCTTCAGGGAGAAGTCACTGTACCCTATTAGGTATCCGGCTTGCCGGGGATAGTCCTTGGGTGCATTCCATAGTGCATACAGGGTTAGTCACTCACCGGTTTGTGTATCCATTACATTTAGATTAAAGTTGTATAAAGGGCCTTTGCGCTGTTGGCTTGGCTTCCGCCCCTCGTACGCCTTCCAAAAGACCGAGACCTTGTGATCCCGTGAATGGTAAAGACATAATAATATAAAAACTATTATGATCATCCTATAAATAATAAATTACAGAATATTATTCAATACGGATTCTCATTTCATTTTTTGCACTGTTGGTCACGTAGTCACGTTTTATCACATTTTGGACCTTTGCTTCCGATGATGAATAGTTTATGAATTGGTCACACTGACAAAAGTGAATCATATAATTTGTTTTTTCATCTGTCAACACAGCACCCGGTTTTCATTGTTCATGCCTTCGTGATTTCTTTGCTGTTACTTCTGCAGATCACGCGGAAAGCAAGATAAGTTTTCTATTTCGAAAGTGCTTTTAAGTTCCTAAAACCATGGCTTTACACGTACCGAAAGCTCCTGGGGTACCCCAGATGTTAAAAGAAGGTGCACGGGTAAGTTTTATCAATATACATAACCAACAATTTTGTTGCGCCCACTACGAGCATTTCATATGTTTTAATTTCTTAGTATAACTTCATTAATCTTTACAAAAATGACCCAATATATCGTATAACATACTTTTTAGTGTAAAAACCATATAATAAGGCTTTAAAAATTTTGAGTTTAACTCATATTTTTTTATTTTCTCAACATCAACAAATTCTAGCTAGAAATTTCTTCAGTATAAGAATAATATTATAAGTAATCTTTTAAGAATCAATTTCATGCTTCGTCTTTTACTTTTAATGAACCAACTTGAAATGTTTATTTTTAGTTATTTTTAGCATAATTGTTGACAATCATAACCAAATAATTTTAAAATCATAAATGCTCATCTTGGTTTTTTTTTCTTCTATTACTAGATGTTCTCTGGCCTAGAAGAGGCAGTATTCCGTAACATAAATGCCTGTAAACAGTTCGCCCAAAGTGTTCGCTCAGCCTATGGACCTAATGGCATGAATAAAATGATAATCAACCACATTGATAAACAATTTGTGACTAGTGATGCTGGTACCATCATTAGAGAACTAGATGTAGAACACCCAGCTGCTAAACTGATGGTTTTAGCCAGCCAGATGCAGGACTCTGAAGTTGGTGATGGTACTAACTTTGTCATAGTGTTTTCTGGAGCTCTTCTTGAAGCAGCGGAAGAGCTGTTGCGTTTGGGTGTAACGCCTAGTGAGATTGCTGATGGTTATGAGAAAGCTCTTGAGAAATGTTTGGAAATTCTGCCTGGACTTGTCTGTGAAGAAATTAAAGATTGCAAAAACATTGAAGCTGTAACCAAAGGAATCATTCCATCAATCATGTCTAAGCAGTATGGTTATGAAGATTTTATTGCTTCACTGGTTGCAAAGGCATGTATTGCTATCCTTCCTGAGAAAACTACATTCAATGTTGACAATGTTAGGATATGCAAGGTAACTATTGATTCAGTATTATGCATTGCTCATTCTAGTATTGTAAAACTACAATTTATTTAAACATCCTTTTGTTATAGATTCTGGGATCAGGACTCTTACAGTCTGAAGTCCTCTCAGGCATGGTCTTCAAGCGTGAGGTTGAAGGAGATGTTTCTTCTGCAATAAAAGCTAAAGTAGCTGTATACTCCTGCCCTGTGGATATCACACAAACAGAAACAAAGGGAACAGTTTTGATAAAATCTGCTGATGAACTTCTTAACTTCAGTAGAGGAGAGGAGTCTCAATTGGAGAAACAAATTAAGGATATTGCTGATGCTGGAGTCAAAGTGGTTGTTGCTGGTGCTAAATTTGGAGATATGGCTTTACATTTTTTGAATAAATATGGTGTCATGGCTGTTCGTCTCAACTCTAAGTTTGACATTCGCCGTCTTGCCAAGACTGTGAATGCTACTGTAAGCATATTTTAGAGTCAAAATGTTCTCTTATAATAGGAAATATTTTGGTCTAAGATAAAAGTACATTAACCTTAATTTATTTTTCAAGGTCCTGCCAAGACTAACCACCCCCACTGCTGAAGAATTGGGATATTGTGATTCTATTGGTGTGGAGGAATTAGGAGACACTCGTGTTGTTTGCTTCCGCATGGAGAGCTCAGAATCACGTATATCTACAGTTGTCATCAGAGGTTCCACTGATAACTATATGGATGATATTGAGAGAGCTATTGATGATGGTGTCAACACATTTAAGGGCATTGCCAGAGATGGAAAGTAAGTATGGACATTTATTGAACACTTTTATAAGCATTTTGCTGTGCTAGAAACTTAAACATTTTCTATGATGGATAATTATAATTAAACAATTTTTATTTCATTTATTTCCAGATTCTTACCGGGTGCTGGAGCCACAGAAATTGAATTGGCGCAACAACTTCTTCAGTACGCCGATACCCTGCCCGGTTTAGAACAGTATGCAGTCAGGAAGTTTGCAGTAGCTTTGGAAAGCATTCCTCGTGCCTTAGCTGATAATTCCGGGGCTAATGCTACTGAAGTTGTAAATAACATCTACAAAGCTCACAAGGTTGGCATCACACATATTAATCTATTTGCATTATTATTAAGTTTGTTAGGCAATATCTAAGATGCATTTGTCAATTAGCAACCAAATAGCTTTACTAGAGGACTGACAGACAGACACATTTTTTTTATATTTCAATGTTTTGTATTGCAGTTAAGAAGTGATTTCCTGGTCTAATTGTAATAAATGACTTTGACTTTTCAGGAAGGTAACAAAAACTCAGGATACGATATTGAGTCTGAAAACAATGGTGTATGTGATGCTAAAGAAAAGAATATATTGGATCTCTACGTCCTGAAGTACTGGGGACTGAAATATGCGGTTGGCGCAGCTGCAACTATCCTTAAAGTAGACCAAATCATTATGGCTAAGAGGGCAGGAGGACCAAAACCAAAAGCACCAGCTGGAAGTGATGATGAATCTTAAGTCTTATGCAATAGATCACAATTAATCTTAACTCACAAAGTATTTTATTTTAAGTTTTTAGAATAAAATAAAGCTTAATAATACTTCATTTAATTTAAACATACATATGTTTCAAAATATAAAAGGTCTAATTCTTATTTCAGTTTCATAATTGTTTTGTTTGTTGTGAAGATTTCTTCTGCATATTAATTAAGATTCGAATGAAATATTGTGCACTTCGTAATTATTATATTTTCTACGAAACTATAAATCTCCGTCATGAACGCATTACTTACTAATAATAAAATTATTATAACGAACATGGTATTTTAAATATTTCCTATAGACAAAACTATTTTTTGTAAGCTTTTTATGTTCTATAAACCCCGGAATATAGTTTTCCTTAGAACATTTCATAAAAATGAACTTGGCCATTTAGCCTTTTATCATAACAGAAATGGGTAAGAAAAATCGTAAGTTTTTTTATAGAATATGAAATGCAAACGAGCAGACAGATCACCTGATGGTAAGCGATCAGCGCCGTCCATGGACACCCGCAACTCCAGAGGAGTCTTATTGCCCAACGCGATAATCGCACCCATGAATCATGAATGACATCTGCAACACATTTCATAGCAGCTGGTCACTCAACAGCTGCACCGACTCGACCGTACATTTCTTATTCTTTTAAGTAATATACTACTGCTAATCGGAAAGCGTCGTTTCGTTTACGACGTCATAGGATCCATTTAAAAACAAACTCAAAAACGCTGTTTCTGTTCGGTATACCGTATAAATTTGATTTTCTGTTTCTGAAACAGAAAATCAAATTAATACCTACTAATTTGATTTGCTGTGGTTGCGTTAGCGTATTTTTATTGCCATGGCAACATTCACAACAGTAGCATTGTCTTTTGTTTTAGGTTCTTTTAGTTTGACACTTTGTGATACAGTTAAAGAAAATATACTTCTATCGTATATTGTATGAACGTGATACAAATAATACTATTATTAATAATAAAATTTACTCATCAAGAAATTGTTTCATTGATATTCTAAAGTTATATATATTAAGCCAATAGTTGCGTTTCAACTTAGGCTTTCATTTTATAACACAACAGGACCTTTTAAAAACTAAATGTAGGGCGAGAAAATGATTGTCTAATTGTCAAACTTAAACTTCAACTCGTACGTTTTTTGCAATTCTCAGGAGTAGCTATTTTTGTTCATAATTCATATTCTTCCCAGATTTGAGTTGTTTATAAGAAATATAGGAGAATGTCTTCGTATAAAGTAAGTAAAACATACTAAACACTTTACTTTTACAAAAAACTATAAATATAACAAATAAAATATGTACTGATATTTAATGGATTCAATTCTTTCTATTTAACGATAGTCTAGAGACTTATTACTGAAACTGACATTATTAATTAGTTACTTATGTCTGCATCGGAACTAACATTCGTTTTTTTATTTTGTAGCCCATTGATTCTAAAAGAGAAGAATTCCGAAGATATCTTGAGCGCGCCGGTGTTATGGATGCTTTAACGAAAGTTCTCGTGAGCTTGTATGAAGAACCAGATAAGCCGGAAGATGCTCTAGAATATGTTAGAAAACATTTGGGCACTGATGGTGGAGATGATGAACTAGAGGCTGCAAGAGCCCGTATTGCAGAACTGGAAGCTGAAAATGCTTTGCTTAGGGGTGAAGCAGCGCCAACGGAAGGATAAATTTTGCTCATTATTAATTACCTACATACCTAATATACGATGTTCAATTAAAGATCTCCTTAAAATGATCTCATATAAAAATATTCTTGTTATTTCTAGAGAAATATAACTTAGTGTTATGATTACTGTGAGAGTATTATTTTGTTATAAGTATATCTAATTTGGCAGCGAAAGAAGTACTATTAAATTTTTTGTTCAATTTATAATATTTTTCTTTTATTATGACCAATATTTTTACCCACTTGGCACTATACCTATTACATAGACTAATTTGTATTTGAAAATTAACTATGGATTTGAAAATGCATTTCCTTTCATTCAGCTGAGCACAATAGGCTAAATATTTTTGTTATAGGATCATAGTTTACTCCAGAGAAGTTGAAGAGTTTGTTATGTTATAATGAACCATTTGAATCCAAAACTGCTCATATATTAAGGCAGGAAAATCATTGAATGACTTCTGAGTAAGGGGGGAACGAGTGTCAGACTCTTACTGACTAAAAACTGAGGTTAGAAATAGGTAACAAAGAAAAGGGGTTTCACACATAGTCATTTTCTTTTCTGGATGTTGGAGTTTATTACATTGTCTCATTGGCTTAATAACATTAAAGTAAAAATGTTAGCACACGCAAATATGGTGTACCAAAATCAGGACTGTGTAAAGGGATTGTTCATAAAATAAAACAAAAGTAAATCTAATGATTTAACTGATTTAAATAGTAGTATTACACTTTGCACTAAACATTTACAGTTCCATTATTGCATGATTTAAACAGCGGTACTGATGAGTTCGGTGTATTTCTTGACTTTGCTGGCCACACTCATGTCAACATACTTGTCACCAATGGAGACAACCATGCCACCCATCAGAGAAGGATCAACTTTGGCTGTGAGCTGAAGAGTTTCATTGGCTTTCAGGAATTTCTGGAAAAATTGTTCAAATGTTTGATATTCGTTATGATATTATACATATTTATATTTGTTTTGATATTTAACTCTATGGGAATGGTATCTTTCAAAGGTCAGTTCTTTTTGTTTCACTGTATAGTATAAATATGTTAACATGTTATTCATTTTAGAAGATGAATGAAACTTCACCATTCCTTTTGGTCTGTAGCTTCCAAAGTAGTCCTCAACAATTAATATATTTTTAGTTATCAAATCTGCATAAATAAAGTGCAAATACTTATAATCTTTATTTATTACCTTGAGAGCAGCTTCCAGGTTCTGCCTCTGTGTCTGGTCAAGGGGTTTGGCAGTAACAACCTCACAGGTAACCTCACCACGGTGAGCAGACATCATGATCTTAAATGCATTGATAACAGCCTCCAGCTTGTCAAGACGACCATTCTCAGCCATAAGACCCAAAAGGTTGCTGGTTGTGGGAGACAATTTGGCCTGAAATTATATTTACACAGAATAAGTATTGACACCATAACAAAATATAGTCACATTTGTCTCTCATTACGAGTAAGCACAGACAAGAAATTATTCTGGCATAGCTCTTTCACTTCAAGCTATAAGATCTTCCTCTGTAAAATATATATTTTTTACAAATAAATGAATTTGAATTCAATTGATTATTGAAACTATATTATAATAATTGACACAATAAAATTAGTAAAATGTTACATGTTACATCACATATGTATTCCAAATGCATATAAAAATTTTAAATTAATCATTAGTTGTACATGTAGTACAGCTTGTATCATAGAAATCTATTAACTTTAGTTTACATTTTTCAATCAAAGAACTTCATCCTTGAAATTGAATTACTATTATTGTCATTATGGACTTAAGTTTTTTAAAAATAAAAAAAATATTAATTTCAAACAGAATAATCATACAAATCTTATGCTTTTGTCTCATAGGGACATACAAAAACCTTAGACACTTGAATACAATTGAAGCTAAACAAGTATGTATGTGTAAAACATATGTACCTGTAAAAGGTGGTGCTCCGTGGTTTCTGCTTTGTATAACAATTATTCAGTATTTGGAATTCATTCTTAACTAAATTATGAATCCTATTAGAATTTAATTTGAATACCATAATCCTACCTAACCTATGGTTGACTGTAAGAGAATGCCTTAAGGCATTAAGTCCGCCATTCACTTATGTATTTTGTGAAGAAGAAATAAATAAATAAATAAATAAATAATCAAATTATTGTTACTAATTTACTTTGGAAGTTGGAATACCCAAAAATTTTAACTATACAAAGTTATTATAATAAATGTATGCTTACTTGAGTGGCGACCTGTCTTAGAGCATCAGCCTTCAGATTTCTCTTAAGAGTTGGGTTCACAATGAATTCTTTCAGTTTGGCATCAGTCTTGATTGACTGTTGGAACTGAGACAGCTCTTTCTCAACGGCATCCAAGGTCTTGTTCTTGGTAGCAGCAGAATATAGAGCAGATGCGTATCTGCCTTCCAAACCAAAAACTTGGACAGGAGCCTTAACGAGTTGGCTTGCCGCAGCCGACGTGCTCAAGGAACGAACCTACAAAATATTACGTAACCTATATTATCAAATTATTTTAAAGCATATTCTAACATATTAAGCTTTATAAACATTCACCAGCATGTTTCCCTTTGTGACCGACATGATGATATAGGGAAAAGTGAGATTAATTTAAAACACTGTTAATTTACGTAAAGGGCAGGTACCAGGCTTCGATCGGTCACTTTTCCACCAAAACCTGTCAAACGTCAAATTTGAAAGATTACAGTGACATTGAAAATATACAAAAATGTTGCCAATGTTGACCATAAGCTTACATTATTTCAGTTAATTTTATTAATTAAAATAAGTAATATTTTATCGGAAATTAAATATTTGCAAGGTTTGTCCTTTGTATTTATAATCGTCGTAAAATAATAAGTAATAAATCATTTTTCTTACAAGGCACACTGCTTATGAATGACGTAAAGTGAATGTAATGCAAAAAAGTTAAAACATTTCGTAGAGCCGTCAAACGTGTTGGTGTCGTCAACGTACTACAAAACTACAAAATTCCAATACATATATTACGCTCATTGATATAAAAATCTTTAATGAAATTGTTATAAATTAAGTTGAAGTACTTCTATGAAATAAAAGACGATTATATTCGGGAAGTGTCAAGTTATAGACAAGACAAAGCAAGGAATTAAGAAAATAGGTAATTATGTCGCGCCAAGTGGACTTAAATATAAATAAATTACTTGATGGCTTGGGTTTAGACGGCGATGACAATACCATATGCGACTTTACTATTGCTGACCAAAATTGCGTTGCCGAGTCTCAAGGTATTACACCTACCACTCCTTCTAATTTCAAACCGGTACTGGGCAGCAACGTCACTTACGTTGTAGCTTGTGTGATCATAAACAAATCAAATGAAGTGCTGATGATGCAAGAAGCAAAAGAGAGTTGTGCAGGCAAGTGGTATCTACCAGCAGGACGAATGGAAAAAGGAGAAACTATTGAGCAGGCTGCAGCCAGAGAGGTGCTCGAAGAAACAGGACTTATATGTACTCCAACTACATTATTAGTGGTTGAGACTGCTGGTGGAATGTGGTACAGATTTGTTTTAACAGGTGAAGTCATAGGTGGTGAATTAAAAACACCTGCTAGAGCAGACAAGGAATCGCTGCAAGCTAAGTGGATCTCTAATCTTCAGGAAATCTCTTTAAGATCTAATGATATTTTACATCTCATTGAAAAAGCACAGGCATATAATAATAGGAGTCCTGATAGTCATTGGCATAAAGAAATCTTGCCTGCACCCATTCATCATGTCAAAGATTTATTGAGGTTGATTGTGGTAATAAAAAAGAGGAGCACTAATAAGTTGCATGTACTTTTGAGTGAGAAAACTGCAATACATTTTCCAACATGTGAAATAAATCCAGGTAAAAGCATTCATTCAACATTGAGGAGGTTTATGGTTGAAATGTTTGGGGCTGATGTGGGCCAGCACAGGCCCCTTGGGTTATTGAACATAGAACATGACCCTGTAGCTGATGGCTGTTGCCTTACTCTACTTGTTGCATTCAGGGCACCACTTGAAGAGGTGCCCCTCATAGGCAAATGTGTCTGGCAAGAGGTCTCTCCTGGTGATGAAAGTAGATTGCTCTCCATTATTACTACAAAAAATTCTTTGGTAGAGCTTCATGTTGTTCGTTAACACCAAGACTTTACTATTTAGTGTTCACAGATACACTTCTATTTATCAATTTTGAGCTAATTGGTAATAGTCACATGCTTTATTACAAGATCATTTTGTATATTGGCCATTTTTTAAGTACAAGAGAAAATTGGATTTATGGATTTGGTATTGAAAATGTAATGTATCTGTCAACACTGTATATTTATCAAATCATGACAATTAATTATATTTTATAATACTCTATTCTTCAATTGTTATAGTAGTTAAGCTATTTATCCGTCCAATAATATAGGCATTAACTTATATTTAGATTAAATCATGAAAGTTAAAGTTTCCGAGATCTGAGTATACAGACTTTATTCAAATACAATAGTACTAAAAAGAAAATGAATTACTTGACAGCTTGGCCACACTGTTTATTGTTAATATTGGTGTAAAGCTTAGAAATTATTACAAAAATGTAGATAATAATAAATGGAGGCAATATACTCATGTGTAAATAGGGTTAATGACATAATCACGATTTGATTGAATGTAACGTAATGTAAGAAGTCATTTAGTGTAGATCTGGCTTATAAATTGTCATTTTAATAACAACAAAATGATTATAATCACTTTAATAATATTAACATACATAATTATTATGTATGTTTAAAGTGGACAGACACCACAATCATCACAAGTCTAGCAAAAGAATGGATCTGATTTGTTTACATTTTCATTATAATTGATACTTATTTCACTCGTCGAGTACCGTCATTATAGAAACAATTATAGAACAATAGGTTGTGGTCACCGGTGACCGCTTGGTGTTTGACAGTTTAATCTGTTAATCATGAAGTAAATATAATTGTAATTGGTACCTACAATACATATTATAGTACTCTACTCAGTATTCTTTGTATTTATAGTCTAACAAATGGTGGCATTCCATGGTTTTATTAACATAAGGTAGTTATTATACATAGATCTACTAATTGAAAGTATAAAATTACATAAAATGTATAATTTAGTCTTATAGTACCTGTACCAGCTGTACTTACTGGAGTTAAATATGTATCTGCTTGGCCAAAGGATTAATATACTACAAATTATTATTGTTACAAAAATATTGAGATGGAATAATATTATTGTATTAATATTGTAATATTGTCTCAGCGGTAGTGGTAGCTACATAGTACCAGTGACCAAGCAGATTAGTTATTAATTATCCAATAAGATTTTGACAAAGATGTTATGATTTATTTAGATTATTTCAAACATATTATTTTAATGTATGTCTACATTTTGTAGCTACACCTGGTTTTAAAACATTTTAAAGCTTTATTTTTTTTTTGTTATATTTTTTTACAAATAATCTTGCTATACTTGTTTATACTTTACTAATCTAATAAAGTGTTTATGAAAATATTTTTCTACTTCATTGCATTGTAAAGGAGTATGGGCAATTGAAACAACTAAATTTATTTGATGATTTATTAAAGCGATAAAAAAACATTGCATTGACTAGAAAAATCGAATATTATGTAACCTAAATAATTATATTTTAATAAGTCTAAAATCGGAAAATGCTTTAGATAACAGTAATTGCACACTATAGTTTAAATTGTTAATTTAGTTCGCAATATAATACAATAAAAATTCAACAAATCAACCATTTGGAAAGTAGTTTAATCTACTTTTCGATATTTTCCAATATTTCTCTTTTAACAGATTTCCTATTGAAAACTATCTATTTACATACAATTAAAGAAATGTGAAAATACCGCATCAATTAATTCAAAACTAGGCAACAACTCACCAGCATCTTAACATTGGTTAAGAGCTATATAATTTTAGTACCTGGCTCCTGTTTCATTCAGTTAAATTATTTATCATCATGTCTTGGTTGTTCAGCCTCATAATCTGAAGATATTTAAATAATAATATTAACTGCAATACCAGTTCACTTTATATTTAATATTGGATGAATGGTTTAGCTCAGAGCCTACGTTGTACGAAAAATTAAAAAAAAAACGTAGGTACGGTAAAACGGGGTGAATAGAAGTCGAGTGGAGAATAGATACAGGAATGGGGTGAATAAATGTTAGAATATTTTCCCAACATTTATTCACCCCTTTTCTGTATCTATTCACCCCTCGAATTCTATTCACCCCGTTTTACGGTATCATATTTATTTAGAGAGCCGAAGATAAATGCCATCCCGCACAGTAGAGATTTACAAATATCTTCAATAGGCTGCGAACTAGACACCCCCGATTGAGTCAATTCATGTGTTATTGCTTAGGTACACATTTTCAACAAAGAGACCTGCAGGTACATCTACATAAATATACCCAAATTACTTGGTTTATTATTGAACAAGTTGGTAGAAATACAGGCAGAAGTAAGCAGGAATGTGTTTATTATAGTATAGGTAGGTATACAGTAATCTACAGTGTACAGTTTGTCTACTGGCTTGTATAGGTATTGGTTTAATATTTTAATGTTTTTATAGCTGTTAAAACTCCCTCATCAGAGTAGGTCTAAAATATGAGTTTGTATTTGCTGAAACAAAAATCGCTAAACGCAATTTAAGAAAGTGGCAAGCTGTAATATTGTTATCATAGAAGTTTGTTTAAAAAGACATTACAGTCATCCTCTTTCAGTCCTAATAGTCCTCAATAGTAGTCAATTCTTGTTTACTTTTCTAGCCCATCTTGCTTTACAGTAAAAGATTTACAAACAAATCACTTCTTATCTAAATACTTAAAAGGGTGTTTGCAACTTTTACCGTCCTAGGATAGCAGAGCAATATTTTTGCAGCTTAGTAACAAACTGATTACATCTTTGATTGTTTATACAGTCATATCCATCGTGGGGTAAGTATTGGCCCATCTAAGAAACAGACTGGATGCCTATCAATAAGTACCTACACATTTTCAAGGTCTCTTTCAAAATTTACATTTTAATTTCGTTTTTCAATGTTCTGTTTACTGTCTTTATTTTGTACTTTTGGATTTTTGATTAATAACTATCGAGAGACATAATAAATTGATTGAAATATGTGGCTTCGACCTCTTCGGAAGGACGTCGTGGGCCGCTACATAGGTCATGGATACGGGCCCTGATGTGGCTTGACTATATAGTAGAGCTTTTCTCAAACAGTTCACTCGAAAGCCGTATATTTTAATCAACTTTCTTTTCGTTGTCTCTTTGATAATTATGCTTAACATTTCATTAAATTTCTTTACCAATTATGTGTATGTGTACAGTATACAAAAAAATATAAAAATCTTGTTGTGCATAAGAGAGATTTCATAAATGTTTATCCCAAACAGTACATTTTGATTGCAAGAGAGAGAGCTATGAATTTAAATTTGTTACAAGAAATTACAAACATAAGTTTTAAAGTTACATGTATCAAATAAATAATAAGATCACTTTATATCTAATAGCAGAAATAATTACTATACAATAATGGCTAAACTATTTCCTAATAACAGCAATATTAAACAAAATCACAATTCTTATGAGTAAACTGGGCAAAGCCTCTGTCATTTAATGGGTAAATACAATGAGAGCATAATATTGTACCTAGGCACTGTGCATCATAATTATGAAGCTTTTCTTTCTACATACCATCGAAATATATAATTAGCCCTCAAGCTGTATTCCTTGAATCCATGAGCTCAAGTCGGCTGAAGCAGGACATTCAATAAAATTTTCCTCCGGTTCATCTGAAGCCAGCAAGCGCCGTGCAGCTATTTGACCGGATAGATAAGCCCCATGTGCTGTAGAATAGAAACTGCTGTGTGTATGCTCTCCAGCAAAGAGCAGGACAGGCTGAAAATATAAGATGTAATGGTGAACTAAAATTCCACCTTCATTCAGAAGTTAAGAGGTGTTGTGTGTTAATACAATTACCTAATTGGTTAAATAATAGAATGCAAGAAAAGATACTATATTAACTCGTCGAGTACCGGTTTTGTAGACACAATTATAGAACAATAGGTTGCGGTCACCGGTGACCGCTTGGTGTTTGACAGTTTAATAACATTATTTTTTATTAAGTAACTTGTTTGCAAATTCATACTGACAGAAGCAATAAGATACAAAAAAAAAATGATTAATTATTATTAACAATCTTTATCAGGCATACCAAATTCCAAGTTTCCAAATCATACTCTTGATACTTAACTTATTTTTTCTTTGAAAAATTTTATCAATGGTTTCACTTAATAATTTATCAACAGTAAAATTAACTTATCATTCTATTAGATAGGTCTGAGTAAGCACATTTTTATATTATCTGCTAGATAATAAAAAAAGCTATAGATAATTAAAGTACTTAGGGCATTATCACAAGTTGTAAGCAACTGCCTATATGTATATTATGCTGTATGTGTATGCATTATTACTATTTTTATCACAATATGAGTAAAACATAGGCTACAAATGCCAAGTTATCAAGTAAATATATTAATATATCCTGTGTTGATTAAATCTGTGTAATAAAAATAAAGAGCAAAGACCACATTACATAATCAGTTAAGAATCCAAATTACCTTTTTATCATGTACATTTCTGAATAATGGCTGAGCTAAACTTTCAACATCACTTTGACTAGCTCCCACGCCTATAGCAGTATATGACCCTTTTGTGTAAGGTTGTTTTTTCCAACTTGTACTGAAAATTGAAAGTTAACAGTTAGAAAAACATAGTAACATAAAAATTATTGTATAATGTTCCATTCAATTTATTACTCACCAAACACATTTTTGGGGCTCAGGAACAAATGGATCATTTAAAAATTTCCTAAGTATCTTTGTGCAAGTAGTTAATATTTCTTCATTTGTTAGTGTTTCCATATATTCTGCTTCCTTCCCTGACACCCACCCTAGTAATAAGGTTTCTGACACTTTACTAAATGAGTATATTTTTTTATACCATGAATCAGATATGTCCTCAGGTGTTGGAGAATTTTCCCATAACAACATAATCTCTGTAATCTCTGGATTTAAAAATGGTCTATCATATTCTAGGAATATTTTATCTACAGTACTAAATAATAATCTGTCAAGTGATTCCATTTTGTATTGTGGTAAAGATGGTTCAAACAAGTTAGTAGCACTGTCTTTTAGCACACCCAGAGGAATTGTACATATAACATGGTTTGCATAGAAACTTTGTCCATTTTCACATTCTACTTCAACATAGTTAGGGAACTTTTTCTTTGGTTTCCGTGTGACATCAGTTAATGATGTGCCTTCTCCTGGATTCACTGGTTTATCTGAAGCTGATGTTTTGGAAATATCTTCAATCACTGTCTGGTCAGAGTCTTCTGACTCTTCACCCATATCTTCTAGTGGCCTTTGTGAGTTATGTTCACCTGAGTCCCAAATAATTTTTTTCACAGCATGATCTCTCAATATCTTATCTGGGGCAATATTTTTCGTAAGTGGTTCTAATATGGAGCTGAAACCTGTAGGTATCATGATATTTCCACCTTGTAGCTCAGTATAGCTACCTAATTCGAGAAGGTCTATCTCATCCATACTGTTACATCCAGATATACAGGTTTCTCTTTTCAATAGGCAATCAAATATTAGTCTTCGCAATTTCTTTTCTTCTGACGATGGTAACCGTTCTAGGTAAATGGTGGCTTCTAAATTGATGTGTTCACCAACACTGTGGATGTCAGGTGGAGGTAAATACTGGCATAAGAAGTATTCTTCGCAACGTCTTAGAAAACATACATAGGCTTCATGTATCTCATGGAGTACTCCAAATGGTACTTGTTTTCCATCCTCTGTTGCTGCTATAACCTTATGCGGTTTGGGTATGTTTATAATATTTACAAGATTGTTGGCCATCGCTATTTCAAAAATTGGATTACCCAATACTCCATGAATCCAATTGGCTCCCAGTTCAACGTTTTGATTTTTCATTGGTATTGAAATTATCCGTCCACCGATCCGTTTTCTCGCCTCCAAAATTATAAAGTCTTGCATGCCATTTTTCAGAAGATAATTGGCGGCAGATAACCCAGCCATGCCGGCACCAATTATCAATACATTACACTTATTTGTATCACATTTTTTACTAGAATTTAAGTTTTCGTCGCCCATAATATTAGAAATTGATTATTACTTGTATTATTTTGTCAGTATTGTCAACTGCACTTTTGACGTTCAGCTGGTTACGACATCTTTGTCCTTCAGACAGAGAAGTTGAAAATGGTTTATTATTTAAGGCTGGCAATCTGCCATTACTACATATTGGAATATAGGACTTTCCACATCGACCAAATCAGAGAGCGATTCATTAATTAGTGGTTTTAGTCATTAATTCTTGAATATTGATACAAATATCACAATATTTAACTGATATAATTAATAATTTAGCTAATTATATTTTTAACAATAATTTCGAATCTTGAAAATAGTTACTCCACCATAGACAAAACCATATTTTAGTGGTGTTAGTCAAGAAAGATCACCTCCCTAGTTCGCGGATCCTTTCCACTTCCGCCTAGACATTTTGTTTGCATCTCTTTTACTCTTACAAATTTATCTATACGTTTTCTCATTTCAATGACCTTTGAATTTGCTGAATAATAATAATAAAATCTTTGTTTACTTCGTATATCTCAGCAGTGTTTTTGTTATTGTGGCTATTCTTCCAATTTATAATAGTGAAATCCTACATAATATCGTGATTGTCAGTTCGTGTAACAAAGATATAAAGTAGATTTGACTCAAGTAATCGTGTAGCATTCTATTGGATAGAATCTATTGTTTGTCTAATTTCGATATCGAAAGTCATTGTGAATATCAAGTGCTTACAAATTTTGTTTTGAGGGATGTGTTTTGTTACAGTTATGTAACCAAAAGATGAGATATCTTAGTGTATTTATGATAAAAAGATACGTTAATGATTATTTCGATCCTTTTAGTAAGTTCTAGTAAGAAATAAGGTTCGGGAAATAAGCAAAACACGTGGGTTTTGCTGTGAATAAATCGATAGAGACGTAAGACGCGTGCGCCAATCTCTATCAACAAGACTATTATACGTCAAGGTCACTGATCACAAACACGTGCGATGTCGGATTCTATTTACACACATGACTTTCTTCTCGAGCCAGGTTTAGAGATAAAACAGGAGTCTCCGATAGAATCGGGCACTATGTCTGCTTCCGTGCCTATCCCACAGCGCCGTGTTGATCCCGGGGACTTCAACACCGATCTGGACCTGTGTTTGCAAGACAACTTAGTTGGCTCTTACAATATGCCTAATCTGGCTTACAACAAACTTGTATTTGAAACAGACAGTACATCAAAAGCAGAAAGTTTCAAAATGGATGATGATGACATATTCCAAGTTGATAAAGCGGATTTGATCCTTGGTCCTACACTTGCAGAGCTAAATGCTAATCCAGATAATTTATTGGATGATTTAAATTTTGATGATCTCCTTTTGCCTGAGGAGAGTGGTTATTGTGTGCAAATTGGAGGAGCGATGAGTGGTTCACGCCGTGCGCCAAATACTATGCAAACACACAATATTTTGCAATCAGAGAGTCCTTGTAGTCCATACAGTCGGGCACAACTGGCATTTTCTCCAGCAAGCCAGCACAGCTCAGCGTCATCTAGCTTTGCTCAGCCTATGAATCAAATGCCAGAACTACTGCTTCGAATGGATGGTTACAGTGGTGAAATTGCTCTGGGACAATCAGTTCCGGCATCAACTGTACTACCACCATTCCCCACTAGTGCAAAACCTCAGCAGCCTCAACTTTCTTCTTCTGCCCCTACCCACCTCACTATGGAACAGGTAATATATCATTGTAAAATTATCTTGAAATGATATGCAATAATTCTGGTCTATTCTATTTCAAGTTATTACTAAATAAATAAAATTACAGATTTGGCAGCGTCGTGAACCAAGGAAACATCTTTTGTCTACCAGCTCCTTGGCTGAAGCAGGGTCAGCATCATCTCTTTCTGGAGGGCTTCTCAGTCCTGGCACTGTCGACTTTTCACAAGATGAAGAGGATCGTGATGTAGAAACTGATGAAGACAGTGACAGATATGAGGATCTCTCCTCAGATGGTATGATACAACTTCCTATGATAAACTTAATAATAATATGGCTTCCTTTAAAGCTGATGAAAGATGTACCTACTAATAAAATTGGCCCACTAGGTCAAATCCAAAAATTGTTAAAAAATTTCAAAGGTTATCTAATACTGGGTAATAATGATGTAATAATTGACATTATTGCAGAATCAAATGATGAAACAGAAGGTAAACAACCTCGCAGTAGTTCAAAGAAGGAGAGGTTCTTTTGGCAATACAATGTACAGGCTAAAGGACCCAAGGGACAAAGGCTCATCTTAAAAAATAAATCAGAAGATCCACATGTCCTTAATATTGTAACTGATCCAGTATTCAGTCCCAGTTGCAGTGTTAGAGGCATAAAACACAGGTATTATTTAACTTCAATTAATTCAACATATTTTTATAGAAATGTTTTGTGATAGCCAGACCATCTTTACAGTTGGTTTGTCCATTTAATTTTATTTTGTCTGGACTGTAAAAAGTTTTCTCTCCAGAGTTTCTTTCACTGTTTGCATTTAAAGATGAAGAAAAGCTAAACTTATCTAGTATTTTTTATATTCACACGTAAAAGTGCTATTTTGTATTCTGTCCAATGAATAAATTATTTTATCATTTCCACATTTACAGTGGAAAGGCCAGGAAAGGAGACGGAAATGATTTGACACCAAATCCAAGGAAACTGTATTTGATTGGCAAAGAATTAGATAGTTTGGGTAAAATAATCAATGATATGATCCCTGTGAGTGAACTTCCATTCAATATAAGACCCAAAACCAGAAAAGAGAAAAATAAACTAGCTTCACGGGCCTGCAGATTGAAGAAGAAAGCACAACATGAAGCAAATAAATTAAAATTACATGGCTTGGAGCAGGAACATAGTAAGTTTATGTTTGTTTCTATTATGAGTACCTAGATGAATAACATCTGATGTCATGATTGTATTTATAAATGAATGTGTTAAACAACAATAATAACAGAAAAAGAAGAAAAACAGATGTGGACTGTGTACAAGGGGAGGGGAGGATGGGGCTAGAGGAGTATTTTGATTCTTTTAATTATTACTAATGACTTGCTTAACTTAAGTAATTTACATGTCGAGTCTCCAAGTCATTATCATTATACTTTTAGTAATTTATCTAAACAACACCACTCACAACATGTCTGGGTCATGTTTATAATACCTTAGGTGCAAAACTTTTCAGCCGCCCTAATAAGTTCAATTACCTAACGGACAGGGACAGTTAATGAGAATTTATTGCCTCTCCACAGGGCGCCTCATGAATGGAATTGCACAAATGAAACAAATAGTGAGCAGCCGAGTGACTAACTCACAGAATAATGTTGACTGGAATGCACACATCACAAATATAGTAAACACAGCTACAGGTAACTATTTTCTATTTATTTCACTTTGTAACTCAGGTTTTTCTTATTGAGTAAGTAATTAAATTAATCTTTAGGTTTAATAATTAAACCTTATTGGATCAATTATTGATACATTGATTACAAGTTCTTGCACAATGTATAGTTAGCAGCTGTTATTTGGTGGTTTATGAATGTATAGTGCCGATCTTATAGCACTGAAGAATTAAAAGTAACTGTATTTTATAAATGTCTGATGTTTATTAATCTGCAGATATAATTATCTGTTAAGGTAGTCTAAAGTTTATAAATAAATTTATTCAATATTCAAAAAGTTTAGGTTTTATTTATAAATTGTGGGTTTATTATTGTTGGAATATTGAATTTCAATAAATTAATAACGATTTTTTTTAAATTTACTTTCAGAGATAAAAATCGCTGGCAAAACTTCAGAATATGTCAATAAAGTTTTGGACAAAGTCAAAGCAGGACAAAACAATGGTGGATTAAATGATTTATAAACACACACATACATTTCAGATGTGAGTAAAAAAACGAAAGGCTGTTCAATGTACCTCCAAAGTTATTTAGAGAAGAGAGTTTATGTCTATCATGTAAAAGCTTAATTGTCTAAGACAATTTTATTTTTGTATGGTATCAAGAGTAGATTTAGTCACTAGAAGCTTTACAAGGCAACTAGGGGGAATATTAATGTAATCCTCATTTAATATTATTATGCCATAAGTTAGGTGTCAGTGTCATGTATATTTTAAAAGTTTATAACATTTATTGTTAGGGTAAGACTTATGTTTGTTATACGAAATGAGAATATCTTAATTCTGCTGGGTTTGTAATTTTAAATACTTAGTAGTTGAACTAGGAGCTTGAATTTACAGATATTTTATCTCTAAAATTACATTTGTTAATGAAAAATAATACAGTTACATTGTACTTGTTGTTTTGAAAGTGAATCTAGTCGGGACCCTTTGTTTTGTGAATATGAATATTTATTAAGTGACAAAAATTTTAATATAATCGTAAACCACATTCCTTACTAATAATATAAAGAATTCTTCAAATTGTATAGAGAAACAACAGTGTTTAGAATATAGAAATCCATACACTGGATCTGGATTATTACTGTATTATTTTTCTTAAGCATTTCTTACGGTAAACCAGCAATAAGATAATACACATTATTTATTTTTAATTCAACACCACACTCAATTGGTAAACATTTCCCAATTACTAACACGAGTTAATTCTCGTAGAGTGCAATATTCGTGGCTACTTTTAAATAGTAAATATCTCTGTAGCAGAGAATGGATGTCTAATGTTGGGCAATAAAAGTTTACGACTAATTTTTAGATGAGAACAAACACAAACAGGCGTAATCTAAGATTGCTCACCTTTGGCAATATACAGCAGTGATTTATTTTCATAAGTACCTATTTATATTCCTTTTCGAAAAATACTATGTATACATATTATTTTCTATGTATTTTATTATAAAATTTATCTTACGAATGTTATGATTTTAAAATTCACGACGAAATTATATTTACTAAATTAATTAATAATATTATCACTTATACAAAATTAAAATTTTAAGTAATTCTAAAGGCACAATTTAAATTCTTAGATACAGATGTAAGCATGGCTTAGCTATTTTATATTTTTACTTATTGATGGATGGTTAAATTTAAATGAATACGATATTTATCTTCTATTGTTATAGATGTTATTTTTAATATGAAAATAATAATGTTAAGGTTTTCTTGGTAATGCAATGTTATGTGTTTAAAATTATCTTTACTCTTTAAGAATGCTTCTTGTAATCAAAATATGTTGTAGTGTCCTTCCTTTCATTCATGAAATGATGTGACACTTGCGGGTGATGGCTTACAGAACTTGACTGCAACTAACCTCATTGGAAACATTAACAAGGTGTCAATTAGCGTCTTGCAAAAAAACGCACTAAGTACCAGTAAAAGGGTACCAACACTTGGCTGCAGTAGGTTACTGAAGGTACTCGGAACCGAACCATTTAACAAGAATTATAAAATTGTTATTAAAAACTTGAAAATTATATAAAATCTTGGTGTTTACAAAAATACTATTTTGTGAAAACAGCATGAATGAATTGCCCTAAAGTGGCGTCAAACAATCTGCGATAAATTATAATTACACAGTCGAATACCATGTTTATCCATGACTGATTGATCAAATTACATTCATCCATGTTAAATATTTTTATTTTACTGTACGAAATATATTTTTTATAATACTTTTTATGGTTAATGAACGATCTGCAATATAAATTAATATAGTATGTGTATAAGATAAATATATTTATGGTAGATTATATTCTTAATGTTAATTAATGAAATGGAATAAAATTATATTTAATTCATATCAATTTACAGAAAATATTCGAATTTAAAAATTAATTTCAATTTTATGACATAAGGTGAATAATGTTAATATGCCAATTTATTTTAACATTACATAAGACATTGAATTGAGTTTAGATTCTTATCTGGCGAATATAATTGGTTTAACAAGGCTTAACAACTTTCCATCATTTATTTTGATTTGTATACATGATACAAAGTTAGATCGTATTTTTGAAAAATTGGGAAAGTTTTTTCATTCGATGTTTCACTTTAAGACTAAATATCCTTCATATAAAAAAATACCTCAAAAAAATTTTAAGTAAGAATTTCTTGTATCTAAAATTAATATTAAAATTAGAATACTGATGCTCCAATCTAGAAGCTTATTGAGTCGTTGGCGGCGTAAGGTGGAACTTTCCAGATAAAATAAAATGTTCCAAATAGTTGTTAATTTCAACTACAGCTGATTCCGAGTATGCCATACTTTGATATCTCTCGGAATTTTTATTTTTAATGTACATTGTAAAGTATTTTATTTATTGCAGTACAGAATGGGATAGTTGTACAGCTTGTACTATAATATACCCATACTACGCCGCCGTAGGTACATAGGTACAACAAATATGTAACTGATTCAAATATTTTGTGATTATAAGTATATTAGATGTATCGATGTAGGTTTCACTGTCTAATGGTAACTGTAAATATGTTTTTGTTATGTTTTGTTTATTTCTTAAGGTCATGTAATGATCAGGAGCTGGTTGGTGTACTGTACACAGTCGCATAATAGCATTTTTGACTAGTACCTAATGTCATGACTACAAATTATGCAATCGAAAGTATGGACGAGTCAATGTGACGTAAGATTGACAACTACAGAAGTTCTTGTAGCCAAACTTTAATGTGCAGTTATTAAAATCCTTCTATTTCGGAGTTTTGCATTTCGGCATTTTTATTTTAGCTGAACAAAATGTTACTGTTTGTCTAGTCTTGTAAGTCAATCTTTAACTATAGAAATCATTTTCGTTATCAATTCTAGTTATTTTCTTTTGCCTCTTTTCGACCCTAAATTGTTCTCCTACTTATGGGTGGGTAGGCAGTAAACTACAAAAATTCCTAAAATGAATGTTCAACTATCATTCCTGCACTTGTGTTATTAATTTGTAGTCATGATTGGTTTCTAAATTTTATAAAGGAACTTTTAGGTGGATGAGTTACAATGTTCGAAGGTAACATTGTAAAATCGACTACCTATATAATATAATAGTATATTTTGTCATATAACAAACCAAACTCAAACTGGTCTGCGATCCAATAGGCTGTGGTTATTTGTACCTATATTTCATAAGTTTTATTATGTTACTTTTTTATTATTTTACCTTATTGAATATTTTTAAATGATTGTCAAGTGTATGTTAATGTATTAATGTTGAATAAATTTTACGAAATTAAGTATTAATTTTAGAATTTCATGTTTTTATTATTATTCACACCTTACCTTCTTTTAACCTGTTGTTTGCTTAAAATCAATCCACCAGACACACAATAAATTTTCTATTGTCTTATGTATACCGGTACTAAAGTGGTTAACCACTTTTGATTACATTGCAAAATATCTTGTTTGAATTATTTAAACAATATTAAACCAGCCGTTATACTTTTAATTAGATTTGATGTAGCTATATAGCTTGCATCTCTTTGCATCATGATCATATTAATAGTAAAAGTAATTTTTTACATTTTATTAACAATTTATTTAGTATACAACGTATATATTTGTTTAAATATATAAATTAGAGTTCAACAAATTGTCTCGATGTGTTTTTTCCACATGAGGAATAACTTTGAATTTTTCTAACAAGTTATTCAATTCTTGTATTTGTACCTCTTCAGGATGTTCAATGTAGCATACAATCACCATAGCAGGCTTATCATTGACTTCTCTCCAGCACAGGGCTGAAAAAAAAAGTATGAGTGTTACCATTACACAAACACCAAGCAAAGTATGTTTTTACTTACTGTTTGTAATGTTTTTATTACCTCCTGCAGATACACCAGATATAATATTAGGTTGCTCTAAATGAGGGAAGGTTTTATCCAGATCGCTTGTTGGCTGACTTGCTGATAGACATCTGATTACATAGTCATTTGTGACCAGTTCTGATACTTGGTACTCCACAAGTGGTTTTGTCAATACGCCTACAACGTCAGTGCTAACATTAATGTATTTTTTTAACATCTCCACAATTTCGCTGCTCAGAATTAAGTTGTAATCCCTTATCATACAAACATAGTTATTCAGTTTCTTAGTCTTGAATAACCGTAAATTTACTTCTGGACTCGCGTTAACGAGTTCGAGTTCATGATGAGCTCTAACACAGTCAAATAAGTACTTTCCTTCTAATATGATAAAAGTATCAATTTGCTTGGGTACTTCTATCTCTTTTTCCAAGCGTAACCTGAAATAATGAAAACACTATTAATTAATCGTTTTAAAAAGGTGGTTCAATAAATACTTATTCAACAAAAGTATTGAATTAGATAAAACTATATAGTTTACTAACTCTATATAATTTTCAGTAAACAAAACTTCATCCCAGTCTTCCCATGCAGTTCGACTTGAAGGTTCGTTTATTTCACCAAAAGTGGTCATTTTGTAATTTGTTATAATTGCTATTTAATTTCTATAATATATACTGTAGTGGAATAGGTTATGAGAATGATTTTTAAAAACAACAATGAATTTGTGTTTTGCTTGCTCCAAATAAAACGTCAAACTGTAGTCATTTTGACAGATACTCATAGACATTAATGAAAATAATTTATCTCAATAGGGTATTTTAGTCATTTTTAAAAAGTCTCTCAAATTGATTCTGTGGTGTTAGTGAAGTACTAAAAAAAATACAAAATTTTTATTCAATCGCTAACTACCCTAAAAATGCATTTAAAAT